TATTTTACTAAATAGTAGTCTACTAAAATACACCCACTTTGTAAAGATTAAAGGTCAATTTTATATTATTGGATACAGTAACACGAGTGCATGTGCGCCGCGTCATTACAATATCTATAATTGTTAGCCAGGGACGGCTGAAAGGTCAATATAATAAAAATAATAAATATATATATAAATGTATAATGTTATGAGATTTAAGCCATTTAGTCTAAACATCTATGTTTTCATGTTATAATTTGTAGTCATTCAGAACGAAAAGTCATAATTTATATTTATTTCCTAATTTTTTATGGTGGTTACGAGGTCGATCAAATTGTCGGTCAGACAAAATATAAAGTTTTACTGAAAACAAATGTTTTAAATGTATTTAGGAGATTTTAGAGATTACACAAATAATATTTGAGGTTTTTGGTATGAAGAATAGTTTTATAATCATAACACGAAAATCATTTCACGCTCAGACTAGTAATGAAACAGACTCGATATATTTTCACAAACAAATATTTAGTAAAAATACTTATTAAAAAATTTGATTTTTTGTGTACAAAAAACATGTAATCATTACTAAAATTCTACCAAATTTTGTGAAGATATACTTACTGCATTAAAGTTATAGTACAAAATACTTAACGTGTGCAAATGTGTATATGAAGTCAAGTATTTTTTACCAAGCCTGTCGCGAAAGGGTTAAAACAAAAAGTTTAGAATTATGATTATTTGATAATTAATTTTCTCATGTGTTTTTATCTTAACTAAACCTTTCAAAACTATTGGATGTTGTATTTGAATTTAAGATATTGACAAGTAACACATCTGAATGTAACCATACACATTCATAAACTAACATACCAAGAAGCCAAACTATCAGCACACACAATCAACAAGCTGTTCTACAAGTTAACAATTCTGCCCAATGACATTCTGACTCTAAAGTTGGTTTTTGTATTTCATTTTTATAACAATTAGTTCTGAAATGAACATTACAAACTTCACTACACTAGGAACAAAAGACATAAGTATCATAGTCTAACAAATTTTTAAATATTAATCAAATCATCATTTTTTCTTTATGTGCTTGATAGAACACAATTGTAGCTCTGCATTTTTGAATTACATAAAAAAATCTAATTTGTTTATAATAATATTTAAAAAAAGGTCAGTCTGCTGCATTGAAATGTACCAGAAGAAAGTTTGGGAGATATTAATGAAGCCAAAACTCATTAAAGGTTTAAGTGTCTCATGATGTATGCAATTATCAGTACGATGAAACAAACTAGGTACATATCAAAAGAAAAAATATATTCAGTTAATTCTTTAACACACTGTTCTTTTGTGTCATGAATAATAGTGTTAATAATGAAATATATATATTTTTTTCCACTTTTGGGTAAATATTCAAATGTCAGTGTCAGTGAAGTTAAAGGTAGGTAAAATAATTTAAGGAAATTTACAGCAATACAATGTTTTTAATAATGAAATCATAATTACCTTAAGCAAAAACTCAAAAACTTTTAAGAGAAATGGATTTTCCAGTTCTTCAGTGTCATCATCATTTTTAATAACATTTGTCTCCTCAAGTTGAACATCTTTCTTGTCTTTAGTACCAAGTGAGACAACAAACTTTGATACAAATTCCAGAGTTCTTTCAACACAAGGGTGTCTTTCAGACACAACCATAGAATACCTCAGGTACCTAAAAAACTCTGGGCTAAACTCATCTAAAGAGCTCTGCAAGAAAAATAAAGAATTTGAACACAAATGTTTCAAAGTAACTATAGGTATACAAATGTGCTAAATGATTCATACTATGTTAATAAGGAACAAAACTTTCTGAAACATTTTGTTGAGAAATAGCCTCAAATTGAATTAAAATATATGCAATTGGTTGAGAAACACTGATCTACAAGACTAAGGTATGGTCAACTTTACATTTGTGTATGCTATAATATAGAAAGGTTATTATTCTTGACAAAAGAACATTGTGTTAAAGAATTAACTGAATATATTTTTTATTTTTGATATGTATCTAGTTTTGTTTTCATTGTATTGATAATTGCATACATCATATAAACATGAAACAAGCTTAGTTTTTGGCTGCAGGTCCATGTTATTTCACAAAAATAAGCAATCAAATAAGGAAACTGACAAAATATTCATATTTAAATCATAATGTTTTTTCTTGTTTTACTTACATTTTAGTAAGTGTATTGATGTGAGTGTGTCTGTTGTTAAGTTACTTCTATTCAAATACATGTAATACTAAATTATAAAGTAGAAATATTTACAATTACACTTCAAGCTTCTCAGCAGCCCTACCTTTTTGTTTAAGTGACCTTATTAAAAAAAATTGTCTATTACCCTAATTAATTTTTCTTATCTTCAGATAAAGGATCAATCTATTCATAGCCTATCAGTGTGTTATTTTGACTGCTAGGAGCCTTTTGTATCAGTAACAAAATGAAGAAAGTTCATACTTGTATCTTGTGATTGGCCAACCTAAAGAAATAGAGGAAAATTAAGCTATAGTGATATGATAGGACTGATTTTACCCAATGAGAAAAACTGTAAAAGTTTAGTTGACTTCTTCTAGTATTACCTTACTTTAACCTTATTTTTCTATAAAACTTTTGTCTGCTTTATCTTTCCTTAAAATCCTCTCTACTTTTACCTATTTTATAACCAATGTATTACTTGTACATTGATTTTTAGACTCCTGTGATGACATAGATCCTACAATGCTCTTAATCCTGATTCATAACAAGTAAAGCAACAGAAGGTCAATTGGGTTATTGATGTTGCCCTCTTTATTCATCAAAACAAACAACTAAGGCATCAAATTCAAAACTAATTATAGCCCATTATATCCATATGCGTGTTTGACATAAACTTAATTTAAGCTAAGAATACACACAAAATCCTCAGTGAAACCATTCTATAAATTTATACTAGAAAAGAATATGTCACACAAACAAGTTTGGTTTCAGGCTTCCAAAAGTTTTATTTCAAACATCTGCAAAGTAGTATCACTGTACTCTTTCCAGCTTTTCAATATGAATCATATAGTAATGGACAAAAAACTGAAGCTTTTTAAGTCATATAATAACCATATCTATAAATAAATATTTGAAAGCTATTATTTCGTTTTAGTATAGTGTAACATTTGGTTGAATATGATTGCACTCGATCTCAACAAATCCTGGGCACCAGGTCACCATACAGACTAAAAATTTCATCCTGGCAAAATGGTGGAAAATAACAGGTATTTGTGCATAGGGCTGTGCTAAATAAAACTCGAATCTAGAACAGTTCCAGACTCTTGGAAGACCAGAACTATTTTTGCATTCTCTGAGTCCTAAATCAAACTTTGTTTCTAGGATTTTAATGACGGATTCAGTACTTTTTCATATTTTTTCAGGAATGACATGCTGCGGTTTCACAACATGTTACTAATTTTTCACCATTTTGTTTTTCTTCTTTCTCTCAATTCACCCACTGTGCATGTGTTTAGAAGGGATCAAAGGCAGTTAGTTCAGGCAATACTATGAAGTGGTTGTGGATAGTATGTGATTGTTAGCATGCACTTGTTGCTGTGAAAGTAAATAAATATACACCGGTGCTTTGATTATCTATGGTGATCTGGGGAAAGCAAAAAATTGCAGATAACAAAAACAGCGATAATTGAAGCATTAGTGTATCTTAGTAGTTAGCTCAATGATTAATCTAAATACAGTTATTAAATATATTTAAGTTCCTTGTTTTAAATTATAATCTTTTCACTGTTGTTTAATCACTTATCAGGAAAAATTATAAAACTCATCATGATCATAAAAGCCAAGTGTCAGTCGGTCACGCTCGATTTCTTTGAATTTCGGGAGTTACATGAGTCCAATTCCACTATTTTTCTTGTAATACTTCCTCTTTTGATTGCCCATTCATTGTTTAGTTGAATTTAATTTGTAACATAGGTGGAAGTAGCTCCTAAATTTTAGCACTTTTCTGCTATAGACACAGAAGTGCATTCACACCCTACCATTGTCCATGTAAAATAAGTAAAAAATTAGCACAAATCTGTACTTGAAAATTATTATGAAAACACATTTGCTAAAACAGACTGAAGATACCAATTATCTGTAGGAAAAAGGACAATACACAACTGGTCGATACCCTAACACAACCTGAAAATGCATATGTCGTTAAAGGATGCCCGCTGCGCAGCACAGAACAGTGAACAACAACTGAAGTAAGGTGAAATTTTAATGAGTATTTTGTGTGTTTTTGTGTACTATATTTTTAATCACTAATCAAATAAAGTTAACCAAGCTACAAATATTTTGTATTCCTGTCTTAACTGCTAAATATAAAAAGAGGCAAAGCTAGGCTTGAACCAGCCAACTTACGATTTAAATGCATGCCAGATCCTACTTGTGAAAACCCCGGATATCATGCAACACCTGAACTTTTGCAAACAAAATTAACTTCTGAGTGAAAATTTCTCCAAAACATGTAAATTATTGTCTAGAATTGTAATGGCACAGTTATCGAATGTCTACTTTACACCTTTTTCTTAGGCATTCCATCTATATCTAGGGGATTTTTGTGGGATACCTCTTCCTCCTCTCCATGTTGGGGTGTTTGCCAACTTTCCCTCCACATGTTGTTTCTTTGCTTTTGAGATCTTCTGGTGTGGAATGCTGTCTTGTACCATTTGTTTACCATCCACTTTTAATGGGACTTATGGTTGGCTCTTTTTCTTGCACCAGTCCGTTTTTTTGTGGATACTCCTGTGCATTTAGCATCACGTGGGGTATCTGTGATGCTATTATTTTTTTTTTTAGGTTTGCTCTTTTGTTTCTTTCCCAAGTCATTGCCATCTTTATTCATGTTTCATGTCTGGCACCTTCCCCTCCTTTACCTGTCCTACCTACGGGTTTCTCCATTCATCATGTATGTTTGATTGCTGATTGGAGTTTTTTTTTCCACTGGAGTAAGAGAGTCTTTACCACTTTCCAGTTCCAAGCCACTGGGGTGGTGGATCATGGAGGTTTCCTCCTGAATGAAAGATATACACAATAAAAGACTTCATTCAGTTGAGAGTAGGGCAGTCGTGTTCTGCTGGTATAGGTTACAAGATGTCCTTCAAATGGATACTCCATCTCTCTGGGAGTTTGTATGAGGGGATGTTGCAGCTTTGGAGTGCACCGTCATAATGATGGGGATCACTCATCCTATCCCCACATGGAAGTCATTTCCCAGCAGTTGAGTTTTGGATTTAGAGCTGAACAATCAACATATTGTCCCCACTCATGTTGTGCCAATTTGGATTCCTCATCCTACCCCTGCATGGCTGTTGGTTCCCGGCAACTGAGTTTCCGATTTAGAGTTGAATCAATCACCATGTGACTTCACACCTGTTGAGCAATTGGGATCTCTCATCCTACCTCTACATGGATGTCAGTTCCCAGTTGAGTTTTGGATTTAGAGCTGAACCAATCAACATGATGTACTCACCCATGTAGTGCAACAGCATAAAAGTAGTTCACTCTTTCAATTGGGATCACTCATCCTACCCAGTATGGATGGTGGTTCCCAGCAGTTGAGTTTTGGATTTAGTGCTGAACCAATCAATATAAGTCTTCACACATGTGTTCAGGATGTCCCTGGTCCCTCACTCTATTTGCCTCGAGTGTACTATCCCAGTGTTGTATCATGGTGGTTGCACTTGATGGTTGCTCTGCTTCTTCCTCTTGCGCTACCCCTCAAGGTTTTTATGTTGAGGATTTTACTGAATTTGAGATGGTTCTGGTCTGTTTAATTTGAGTGGGATATATATGTATGTAATTTCAGTCTGCTCAAATGTGCCCTATTCACAGATTGGTTCTGGGATTTCTCCCTTAGGTTGGCTGAACTTGAGGTGAAGATGGTATGATTGTCGTTTCTTCCCCTGCATTGGTGTCAGTTTCTGGAAGTTGAGGTTTGGCTTGTAGTTAACTTACCGATGATTTGATCTTTGTTCTACCTCTGCATGGATATTGGTTCCTTGCAGTTGAGTTTTGGACGAAGTTGACTTGCTGTGTATGGTCTGTTGTGCCCTAGCCACTCTACACCTTGTGGTACATTCCTTATTTTACCCATATTCTGTTCATCAGGGAGATTGAAATTATAATATATTGTGGTTAGGATCACTGTCCAACTGTTTTCTTTCCCAATGAGATGTGTTCCTCACAATTTTCTGCCAGGATCTGTCAATATTTCCACACCTGGGCAAAGAGTATACCTGGTACGGAAGTGGTGTGGTCTCCCATGTATGATCCTCTTATTGGAAGGTTCCCTCATTAGGGTGTCCTTCAGATGCTTCTACTTTCTTTCTCACATCGGTCCCTCTACCTATTCAATGTGAGATTCTAGCTATGTATGTGAGGGGAAGTAAGGTACTTTGTTTTGGAAGTTATAATTTTCATACACTTACTTACTTCCAATAACACTTCCCACCCTTCCTCTCCACTGTCAACCAATGCTTAAGTTCTTGCCAAAACTCGAAGTGATAGTTAGATAGAATAGCATAGAGGAAGTCACATGAATCATGTGGGTATGTAGCACTACTGTTGTTGGAGGATTATCGCATGATAATTTGCATGCGAGAATCAGTTAAACCATGTGAATCGAGGGGTGCGTGGGAGTGAAAGGCTTGTGGCAAGAGAAAAAAATTTTGCAAATAGAGGGTAGCACTGAACAAGAATAACTATGTATGTGAGAGGAAGTAAGTAACTGTCAGAAATACATTTTCGCTGTAGGAAAATTATAACTCCTGAAAGAGAGGATGTGACAGGTGGGTGTGGTAAGATGGGTCTTATTTTCTATTTGGTGGCTCTGTAACCAAACAAGATTGAAGGCTATAAAAATTATACTTTGTCTGAGCAATGACGATTTGATAGTGAGTAATTTACATTAAATTTCATACTTATTGGAGGGGTGGTGAATAAATTACAGAAGAGGGGGGGATGCGTAGAGAACAAATATCACATTTTTCCACACTAGTGGAAATTCAGGATTTTTTAAATATTGCCTTATAAAATTATGATCTTAAAACTAATATACTATTAAAATATGGATTATTAGTTACGAATTTATGCTATACTAATTGGTATAACATTAACAAAAAGTAGTTTAATTAACTTTTGAACATAAGTCACTAAAAACCTCACAACACGTTCAGTAAAGGATGCCCGTGCAAGAGAAGGTTAAATTTAATAAGTCTAATATTTGTGATAAAAATCATTTTATAGTATGGATGTTTGTTCCACATGCTTAATCGTTTTTTTCATTGACGATCTAAAAAGAGATTTCAGATTTTTGCTGGTTTTGATGATAAAATTGGCAAGCAATTATAGATAGGATGATTTTCCCCAATGATGAGCCATAGATGTAAACGAGGTGATGTAAGAGTATTGAACTTACTGACAGTCATTTTAGAAAGACTAATGATATTCACAGCTTATATGTGAGCCTATGGAACATTTGAAAAATGTGTAAGCAGCAAAATCTGGGTCAGTTTCTAATTGTGCTAATTATGTCTTTTTTTTTAAAGTTCATCCAGTGAACACAGGAAGTCCAAAAAGTTCTGGTTTAAATGATGCAGTGAATTAAGATGGCTCATTTTTGATGAAAGTGGTGGAATACAACATAAAATTTGTGTTAATGTTGCATGACAAGGAAAATCAGATCAAATATTTGTCACTGATTGTTTCAACTTTCAGAGAAGTGCACTTGTAGGGCACCATATATGTAAAGAGAATGAGGTTGCTCGGTAGTGTAGAAGTCCCCCACCCCCACCCCACACACACATTATGCATATTCCAGTAGTATATGATAATGTACCTTGGGTTAGAGAAGGCTGTTACGGGTATAGTTAAAACAAAAACTGTTCATATTTAACATAATAATCTCAAATATATTACACTACACAATGCCATACATATATGTGTGTGTGTATGTATATATTGCTACACCATGTGCATTGCAACAGAATATGAACTGTACATGTGAACATGGCATAGTCAAGAACCATAGCTTCTAACAACTGTTGTTTGTAACTAATACTGATCCCAAATTTTCATATGGGAGTAGTTACATGGCCAGAACAATATATATATAATGTATGTATTTGCTATTTTTAATTTAATTTGCTTGTTTTATTAATGTAAAAACCATCTAGGTTCTTGTCATTTACTGTTCTGTAATTGGCCCAATAGTGTTGCCATTATTTTATTTATAAAGACATTTCCTGACCAAACTGTTGGAGGTAAACAGAATATCCTAACAGTTTCATGCCAGTAATTTATTACTTTCTCTGAAAGCTTATAGACTGAACTGTGTGTGGGAATGTAACTATATGGTGCTGCTCTTTGGACTCAGAATAATTAAAAATACAAACAGGTGAGGTACACATATCATTTATTTTCAGTGAATATTTACTTCAGCAACTGTTGATTTTCATGTAATACATAGTTTCTGCTAGTGCAGCAACATCTCTTTTGCAGCCTCTAGGGAGCTGCAGTATACTTCCATATGCATGAAGTCAGGGGGGTGGGCATTGTAACATTTATATTCTATTGGTAATACCCTGTCTATCTGAGTACAAGTATAGAAAAACTAGCAAAACCCACTAGAATACAAGTCTGAGAAAACATGGAAGTCTGGAAAAAAAGTCATGAATTTTGATATTGAGAAAGTATATGAACCCTGCCCTTCCATGAAAGCTTGGATGATTTTTAATATTGTCTAATTTATCTTTATTATCAGTAACATCTTCATTATTTGCAATAAACTCATTATAAAACTTTTGTAACAGCTCAGTGTGAGTACATAAATTATAGACTAACAGGATAATTTTTGATGTATTTTCGTATTACACCGTAACAAGAGTATTATGTAATTTATATTATTGACATGTAATGTTTATGCAGCATTATAATTACATATATTTAATCTTCAAAGCTAGTGTACATTAGCACATATAGTATCAAAGTGACAAGCACTATGTGTGAGTTGGATTTGGTACACAATCACAGAAATAAAACATAGACTGTATGGTCATGAAAACAATTTTGTTGAGGTGAGGACTAAAATGCATGAATAAATGAAAATTATAATCAAAATTCATTTCACATTTGGATTGAACATTTCAAAGTTAGATTTTGATAGTGATTTGTTCAATAATTTTACATCATTTGACTAATACTTCAAAGGATTTTGAATTGCTAGAAGAAGTTAATCTGTGTACTTTGACTGTTAGGCAAGCAATGCTCAGGATGCAGGTGTAAGGTTCCGGGTGTGCTTCTTGGTGAACAAGATACTGAGCACCATGAGCTATGATGCTGTAATCGATGATGAACTGTTTCAGAAAATCTATGAATCCATGCTAGAGAGACTTCGAGACAAAGTATTTAGTGTAAGAATCCAGGCAGTGCTTTCTCTTGCAAGGTTACAAGACCCATCTAATAAAAATTGCCCGGTGATTGAAGGTAGGAACTGACCTTTGCCTTATTTGTTGAACTGTTTTATCTTTTGTTGTTTTGTATAAATGAGTTTTAATTTAGGATTAAGAGCTGAAAATTATAAAATATTTTATGGTTAGCATTTTCAAAGCTCATATAGTTCTCTGCTTTTTCTTTGTAGCCTATCTCTTTCATCTAAGTCATGACCCTTGTCATGATGTACGTCGTGCTGTGCTCAATTGTATTGGGGCTTCCACCAAGACTTTAGGTTCTATATTGGAACGTACAAGAGATGTTAAAGATACGGTACGTCGAGCTGCATATAGTTTTCTAGCTCAAAAAGTCCACATTCGCTCATTGACTATTGCTCAACGAATTAGAATTCTTCAGGAAGGATTACACGATAGATCAGGTATCTGCCACTCATGTCCTTGGTTTATAGTAAGCTGGAGCCAAAGTGAATATTTAAAATGCTGTTGACAAAAACATGCATATTTGATTGTAGTACCTTCACTATGTATCACTTTTAATGGTTTACAATCTATAGTAAAGAAATATTAATTTAAAATAATAGAAATTAGTCATGATTTGTCTAATTGGGTTGTAATTTTTATTTATTTTTTCATAAGATGAATTAAATGTAAGAAAAAGTATGTAATAACGTTTATAGAATTAGATGAAAAGTAAATTTTTTGTTTGTTTCTAAGACATCTTTTTTTTTATTATTATTTTACATATAACACATTATTTGAAAGTGGTAGTAAAAAATTATCTAAAAGCATTTGACAACCTATCTGCTTTGAAAATAATAGTTTTGAGTTGCATTAACTTCATGAAATATTTGAGTCACATAAAGGGTATGTATGCACTTGAAATTTTTGTTTACTTTTATAAGAATAACTGAAGCATGCATGTAGTCCAACATACAAAGATTACTTACAAACTTGAAGTGTCTTCAAAGGTATCTTTTAAATGTTTCTCAGCAATAACTTGAGCTTGCAAGTCCAACACATAAAGTTTTGTTCAGACTTTTGATAACTTATACCAAAACATTATGAAGCGTAATGGGCTAAATAAAACCTGTGGTAAGTTAGGTAGCCTAAACTTTAATTACTGAAAAGCTTTTTAATGCTAAAGGTTTTAAATGTATTTTCTTTTATAGCTCTTTTAACTGTTACATATTATTAATTCTAAATACTTGCTTATATTTGTTACCAGATGATGATGCCATCTCAAGTGTTAAACTGAAGTGCGTAACAATTTCATTGTAAACTTAAAGTGTATACTAAAGTACCAAAACACATATTTTAAGTGTTTGACTTCTATGAGAATTGAAAATAAAAAAGCATTTTTGCTCAGCAAGTTTGAATTCTTCTGGAAGGATTGAGTGGTCAAATAAGTATCTGCCAATCATTTCCTGGGTTTGAAGTGAGTTACAGATAACATGTAATGATGCAGTCTTAAAGAGATTAATGTAGCTTACATGATTGCTGTTTTTTATTGTTTAATTGTCAATTCTAGTTTTAGGTTGTAATGATTACATAGATTCTTGTTTTTTATTTTTATTGTTCTGCATGTCTTCTAGTACCAGCATAATGATTTTAATACTTGTTCAGATAATACCTTACACTTAAATTAGATACAGTAATTCATTAATTCTGTTTGTTTTGATATAGTAATAAATTTTGTCATGATTATAAAACTATCATGTTTTGTAATACTGCAAATATTATGATGAATATTTGTTAATAGGTTACAAAACTGTTGAATGAATCATTGTTTATTATTAAATTATTTTATGACAGATGCTGTCCGCAGAGTAGTTGAACAGAATCTTCTCCCAGCATGGCTAAAGCTTTATAATAACAACATGGTAGACTTCTTGAGGTGTCTGGATGTCCAGGACTCAGCTGAAATAGCTCAACTTGTTTTGAACACACTGTTTAAACTTCACACACCACGAGAACTGGTTGCCGACTTCAACCTTTTGTCAGAAGAGTCAGTTTAAGTTTTGATTATGTTTAATTACAGTGCAGTTTTATGGTATAAGAATAAAGAAATGCAAATGATTAGTGATAGCATATAAAGAACTCACTTAATAGCTTGAGTTATAAATGTGTTTGGTTATGTGGTATTTACAAAATATTAAATGTATTGTTTTTATGCTTAGCCTTATGAGCATACATGTATATATATTATATGCATTTTATGAATTTCTCAGTAAGTGAAAGAATAGCCCTGACAAAAGTAAACATTTATGTTTTTAACTTACTATGTAAAAAATTTCCAAAGTGCCACAGTTATAATGATTATTATTCTTCAATAAAATGTTAAGTCTGATAATATGTATAAATGTTTATCTCAAACCATAATAATAAAGTAATACAGTGCTGAAGTTTGTTTAACTTAGTCATCCGATAAATACTTTCTTTCAGAAAGATAATCCCTAAGAAGAATGCTTCATGTGAAAGTGTTTTGTTTTGGTGCTGTTTGTGTCAATATCTAAAATCCCAAAAGACCATTACAGCTGATGAGTGCATTGAATCAATTTTGCCAGAGTTGACCCCTTATTGTCACTATATGAAAGAGTAAGTCTGTCAGGCAAAAGAGCTATTTAAAAACTTATTTGTTGAGTATGAACTGTTTTTAAACTTAAGGTTAGTTTGTCAGGCAAAAGCTTTTTGAAATTCCTATTTGTATTCACTTATTGATAAGTAGTAACTGATTTCAGATATTAATTTTCATGTGTTGAACAGAATGTGTTTGCCAATAATTTTAACGTTATTTTAGGAAGTATGAACTATTTGAATTGTCATACAGTATTAATTTGTCAAGTTAGTCATCTAGGCTCTATCTTTAAGTTTTTATGGCTACCTCCAAAATTTATATATTGCACAATATATTTTGTAAAAATAAATAAATATACAGTGAAATCATTATCTTTTAGCATAACAAGACTGTAATTATGTTTAAATGCTTCATTCATAACTGATCCATGAGGAATTTTTGAAGAGGCAAAATATATACATAGCTACACTTTTGTTCAGTGTTGGAAATCAGTCTGAAAGTTACAACTATAATCGTAGTTGAAATGATATTTTGTGTAAGATATTATAGTAGTATAAAGATGTACTACACTACTCACAAATATTAAGGGATAATGAAGTGTTGATACATTTTTTCAAAATTAGAAGAAAAAAACCACACGTTCAGTATTGGCAAAACTTGTTTATTAGAAATATCACAGGTAAACAGTACCAAGCAAATTTAAATATTCATATATAAAGAAAATTAACAAAAAACGCCAAAACTCTTCACACCACCAGGATCATGTAGCAATTTTTTTCAGGATGAAAAAACAGCGGTACTGGACTGGCTTAGCAAGTCACCGGACCTAAATCCCATTGAGCATGCAAGGGACTCACAGGGAGAGCAGTTAAAGACAGACAACTTACTCCTATGTCCATCCAGGAGCTCAAAGCTGCCCTCTTCCAGGAGTGAATTTTGCTGCCCCAACAAGTCATCTGAAATTTCTTCAGCAGTATGAGTACAGAAAAGTTGTAAACAACAGAGGAAGACCTACCAGCTACTAAAGGCTTATTTTGTTCAGTTTGTTAATCTTAATAAGTTACTTTTTCTTTAACATTTGTGCAGTCAAAAAGAGGTCAGACCAGGGTTTCAGAAGGGCTACAGGTGTAGTAGATAACCAAAATCTGCAGAATTTAACCCTTAAAAACCACATCAGTAGCACTAGGCACTTCAGGAACAAGTTTTAGCAAACCGCTAAAGTGCATGTATCATGCTCAACAGTCAGTAACATGCTCCTTGGGGCTGGGGCTAGGTCCAGAATACCAGTCAGATCGAACAGCCAGTCTAGCATTTGCCCAGAAACATGTCACCTGGACCCCTGTATTGTTCACAGATGAGAGATGATTCTATGTATCTTCAAGTGATTGGCAAGTGTGTGTGGGGTAATCATGGTCTGGAGTGGCATCTGCATGAAGAGGCATACAGGCCTCTATGTGGTGGATGGAAGTTCTCTGACACCACAACATTACATGGATGAGCTCCTGTATAAGCAGGATAACACCTGGTGTATTCTCCTGTCGTCTGGTATCTGTTCCACAATCTTCTACTAACAGGTAGTGACACCCCCATGACCTGTGCCACCTCAGTCTGGGTGCAACCCTCCTATAGCAGTACGACAGATCTGCTAACTTTAGTTTCAGTTAATTGGTTTCTAACAGCTTGCATACACTTTTCAAAAAGTCAAGATCAGTAAATAAAATACATAAACCAAACATTATCTCAACAGTAAACATCTTTCCTAATCAATCTCTTTGAGAAAATGGGTAATTTCTTGTAAATGTCTATTACATAAGAAATCATTAGTGCATAAACTTCTAAGCCCTAGGTAGGATTAATGTAATCCTTTACACTAAGTTTGAAAATAAAACCACTAAAAATGTACAAATTTAAACACACCTCATTATCCTTTAATTTTTGTGAGTATTGTATGTTTTAGATATTGAGTACTTTATATTAAAACAATTTGTATTTACAAATCAGCAAGCTGTGAAAACCGCAGCCAATATAAAGTATCGGTGGAATAGAATGTATCAGAACATTTTGCCATTGTTTGGCATTATGTAGGTAGTATGATGCCACTAAAATTGACTGCTTTTTTGGAAGGACATGTAACAACTCTTTCTGATACAAACAAAATATTTATACACTCAGATCATAAAAATATGTTCAGATCAAGGATTTAGAATTTCCAAAGTAGGGATATCCATTTTACTTAATGGCATTGGAAAACAAAGGGAAATGAATCAACTTAGAGTACCAGGACCAACCAAAAAGAGATATGTAATAATTCATACTTCAGCATTGATAAGCAAATTGCAGTGTATTGTAACAGGTGAGTATCCATGAATACAAAAGTTGTCCACATGCTCCAAGTGATAGCACATAAGAAGGACTTCTACCTAGAAAGGCAACAAAAGTTACATGAACATAAGTTTCTTCCACAATATATCCAGGAAAGGAAGATCAACTGTATAAAACTATCACCAGTACCTAGCTGGGGGACACTGCAGTACATGGTGATTCTTGAAGTATTTGTGTACCTTGATGACTATAACAAATTTCATACCATTTATTTACCAATGTGGGTGAACACAATTTCCAAGATGGTACATTTTTCAAAATTTTTTCAAAAGGATTCATAATCATTGCTGGATAGTGGAACAGGGCTAAGTTAGGGATCATTAAAGTACTCAACATGAAGTCTATTTATTATCAGACCATTATTATGGACACTTTAAACCACAGGAATACTGGCTTTGCAATGAAACAAGGCCTACGGAGTATAGATTTACCTATTCATATTTTATGTTCAACTGTCACATACTTCAAGCCACAGGGGTATTCATGCTATTCCATTTGAAGATATACTGATCAAGTGGATGGAAACAGTGCTTATGGATTTCTTGGTGATCAGACTGTTAAAACAAGTTTTGAAAAACTGTTCTCTCTGTATACCAGATGGATTATGGAAAGCAACCTGGGAGAAGTAGTGTATTTTTACATGAAAACCTTATGTAGGAGCCTTATTCAGAGGTATTGTGTAGATACACCGTTGTCAGAGTATGAGTGGATGTGGTGACACAAACTGTAACAACATGGTGGGACTAAAATATTTTTACACGTAATATATCTAACTGTATTACAAGATAGTTGTGCCAAATCAAGAGTAGCTGAACAAACATAGCTATTTTTTTTAGAAGTAATCTAACTTATTTGTATAACATTTTTAACTATTTTTAGTCAAAGAGGTTGTGAGACATGAAAATATTTGAGATTAAATTTTAAAAATTGTTTCATTTGTTTATTAATCTAGAATTTCATAGTTTGTTTACTTGATTGTTTTGTGAAAATCAGTTTATAAAGATGTCACAATTCCCTTAGCACTGTATTTTAAAATGTCTACTGTTATAATATAATTTACTTTTAAGATTTTTTATGTTTTAATACCTTGGCAAGATTTAAAAGAAAAAAGTTAAATCCACAACTTAGATGAATTAAGCCATTCTTAAGAAGTAAATATATTTTGGGATTAAATCTTGTTTAGATGATAATACATTGCTGTGATAGTTTATATGCTAGAAAAAGCACAATTATTTTGCTATTTATCTTGCTTGTAGCATAATTAAATGTATAAAGATATAATGTTATCTCAACCAATGTAGAGATACATTGTAAAATTGAATGCCTATTTTTGATTCAGATAAAACACTATGTGCTATAGTGAAATAGAATAAATACATATATATGCTGTTTAGGTGTGTAGTATATTTACAAATTTGTGCCAAGATTTGTATTTTGAAGTTGTATAGCTTCTGCTTGCATATTTACAAAAGAATGCTTTAAAGTTAATAATATGAATGATCTAAGCAAATTGTCACTTACATGGCTATAGGTATATCTTGAATCTGGATGAAAACTTGGACATTGAAACCAAGCTAGAACATGAATTTGTATGTCAGCAACTACTTATTCTGGCTGGAGAATATGACTTAGGTGATCAAGCTGGCCGGTAAGTTTTATAGATGTCTTCTTTTGTTTACAAGGATAATGTTTTCATCATTACCACAGTAATGGCTGGAAAATAATGTTAAAGACAAAATGCCAGCCAGTTGTGTGGTCTACTGTATAATTAACACAGCACAATTAGCTCTTTGAATTTCTTCCAGGTTTATTAAAATACTAAATGATAAAAAACTTGTGTTAATGCAAGTAAAATAATAAAACTTATTAATGAATACACTGGAGAACTTGTACTGGTCACTTATCAATATGCAATTTTGTGTTAAATAAATCTTAAAATAGCTTATCTTTTGCCAGGTGTCTCATTGACTCTGTACCGTCTCAGCCTTATATAAAAATTTTGTTTACAAAATTGATTATTCTGTACTAACCATTATTAAATTCCTGCAAAACAGTTTGTGGATTGGTAATTAATTTACAACAGTATAGAATATTTGCATATTTAGCACAGAATTTGAATAATCATATTGTTATTCAGTAATATTTTATTGTACTACTAAGTAAAAACCTTACTTCATTTGAGATTTACATCAATCAAGATTTACATAGGTTAACTTTCTTAAAATATCATTTACTTATCCATCTGAAACAAAAGAAATTACCTATGAAAATAAATATACCATCATAAATCACTTAAGTAGTGGCATAAATAAAATTATCAATTTTTTGGAAATTGTATTTTAATATCTAAGTTAACAAATCATACACAATTTTATTGAGACAGTTGTATCGGTTTTGAGAAAATTTTAAAGTATTATATAATTGTTATTAAAATTTAAAGAATCGCTGTTGCCACAGGAATTTATATTTTTTTTGTTACACATGAGGAGTTGCACATTAGCTTAATTTGCTGTCATTACTTGAGTAATGTGTTGTTTTAAATTGTATAATAATTAATTATTTAAGGCAATTTTTTTTAAAAACTCTATAGTAAAAAACCCATAACATACTATATTTTGGAATAATAATTAATTACATTTTTGTCTTGTTATTATGTAGTAAATTTATTTGTGAACCTGATCAAATTCTCTGAAATTCATACATAGAATTCATTTTGAAAGTAGATAAAAGCTTTTGAAGACTAATCTTTTTTTCTTGGAAAATAGACTTTGTAATATGCAGGGCTCTATAATGTTTATTTTATTTTTCAACACTGCCGTGGATCATTTGGTGTTCTTCAAACTCGTATAGTTTTCAGAAATATTTTATTTTGTAACTACTATGCCAGATGTAAGCCATATGTGAAGTTTTATGTTAGTAATGGCTGTAATTCTATGTATCATTAATAGATCTTGACAATTAACTTTATTAATTGGTATAATCTGTTACTTCTGAGCATTAATTATATCAGTTAATGTCACGTAAAATAATTGATTAATTCAAAATTAGTGTTTCTGATTATTAATGTTTTGGATTATGTCAACTAATCAAGTAATAAAAGTATTTCCATTAAGATTTCTCATTATTATTTTTTTTTTGACTAATTCAAGGTTGTTTAGCTTAATCAGTTAATGTTCCGAATGATGAAATAATCAACTATTTGAAATTAGTGTTTCTGATTATTATTACTACTTATGATTATTCTAACCATCCAAGTGTAATAAGAGTAATGGATTAGTTGAATGTAATTAGTTATTAAATTCCACTAATTGCTCAGCTATAATCATTAATGGTAAACATAACTTTTGTTTCAGGTGCATTTTTAAGAGCTTCATCCATATATGAGAGTCTTAACTTAAAAGTAACATAACTCTTATTAAACATGCACGTTTTCACATTTTTGCATATCTACAAAGAATTTCAGTAACAGCCATTAATGTTGGTTGCCCTGGTTTGTCAACCACTGGCATGCACATGTACAGATAAGATCAAATGTTACCCTTTTATTATAAACAAAAAAAAATGCCTACAGCAGATAAGAATGTCTTTCATCAGCTTACAAAGATATAAGCTTATAAACTCATACTGATGAAATGCTTTGTGTAAGAATGCAATTCAAGGTCATCCTATGGTAATGAAGGATAAATATTTCAAGGTCAGAACTATGAAGGGATTTTGTAGAATTTTTCACAACACCTTTATAATTGTTTAGTTTCTTTTTTTATATTCTCTAGCCCTTTTAAATTTTTTGTTTCACATATTATTCATGGTATTTTATTGTTTAAACAAATGCCCAACCATAATGTAATTTTGTCTACAGAAATTGCCTGAACAAGTTGGTTACTGACCTGCTCATGTCACCTAAAGTAGAGGCTACCCTAGTAAAGCCATTGGCAGCCTGCTATCACAAGATTCACACCAACCCTGAGAATTGCTTCACAGGGTTGACTGAGATTATAGCTGATGTCAGAGAACCCATTATGACAGTAGAGAATGAACTGACTGAGGAGGAGAAACGGAAGATTGAGTTGAAGGTATCTATGCCATTTCTTGTATTTGTTTGCATATATAAAATAGACATTATGACATTTCGTCCTGCAAGATTTATTCAATTTATTCTGTGCACATATAAATGCATGATTCTTTACATGTACTGCTGTCTTAAATCTGGACATGGGACAAACGTAGAATATTTGGTATAAAAATTCAGATCTTATTCTGTAACACTTATGTTAAAACAAAATTGAGTAATAAATAAATATAAGTATATGCAGATTTATATTTTCACAATCCTCTTAACAGTTTGTCGATTATGGGTTTCAAATCAGAAATTCTTAAAAATTGTTTGTAAGATTTGTTTTTTTATTATTGTTATCTTACATATGGTAACACTATTACTGTTGGTTTCTTATGAACATCTAATGTTACAACTTGAGGATAGGACAGTTTGTTCAACATTTCTCTTATATTTCTATCAATAAATTTATTATTACAGTTATGGGAGGAGAATTATATTTGAAAATATTCAAAAGGAATAATGTATGCTTTAACAAAATATCATAAACTAGTCTGCCATTTAAGACCAGTAATTTCAAATGTTAATACATATAGTGGAAGGTTGTTGAGTTTTTTAGAATTTTTTTATTTCAAGAATACATAAGTTATACATTTATGGTCAAAGGCAATTTTTCGTTTTACAGTTCTTTGCAATATTAGTGATTAGTGATAATGTATATACAGCTAATTAACAGTGGTGTTTTGTCACTAAACAATAACCTACTGCAGGAAACTATTGCTTTATAGTCTGAGTTGGATTTCTCATCTCCTGATATAGTAATATATTGTCTCAATATTTTTTGTTTTAGCTGATTTCTTTTGTATTTAAAGAATCAAATGTTATGTTTAATCAATCTACTCAAGATCAGACTGATGGGGTTAGTATGAGATCAAAGCTTGCACTTGTTATGGGTAATTTATTTTTGTACTGTTATTAAAAAACAATGATTCAAAAAATGTCCTGTTGATTTAAAGCATAAATCCAGTTTACTATTCTTTTCGGATACTTTAGACTATAATCAGCAAAGTAGTGTACAATTAAGATTATATGCCTATTTTATTATTTTTGCTACTGCAGCATTTCAAGTTCACTTAGTGAAAAGTTATAAAGGATTGCTAGCAGTTATTCCAAGCTGCATGAAGACATGGCTAGTATGAGAAATATTTTTAAAGTAACTAAGATATAATTTCATTGATAGATGTACTGATGGAATGTTGAGGAAACTTTTAAGTTTATTTGCCTCAAAATCCAATATTAACATTTATCATATGTAGGACAATGTTCACTACATTCAGAAGAAGTTAGTCTCAGTCTATATAAGATACAAAGCATTGGTATGTTTAAGAATAACAAATTGTTTTATCTTTTAAAATTTCATACCTGAGAATAAGTATGCATTTGTCTTTTATACAGTCTGGCTGTGTGAATGAGTATGTAAGCCTCATAAACAAAAAGATGACCATTCATGTAAAAGGATATGTTTGTATCAAACCTGAGTACTTGTTAATACAATGGCATTGCTCTACAAAACTGTTTTGGTCACAGTCTCTGAATACTCATCAGTATTATGCATGTCTTTACAGAATTTTGAGATGTAAACCTGATCATATCTGCTGAAGTTCATACATATAATGCATATAGAACAGGCCTTGACAAATATTTGCATATCTAGGAACCAGTTGTGCTTAACCTAACTTCACTACTGTTTGTACTGTAAAATAGGGGTTACATATATTTATTTACTTTCACAGTAACGAGGGCATGTTAATGATCACATGATATCAACATCCACCTGATAGTATGGTTTGAACTAATTGCCTGTGGTTTACATCTGAGTCTAAACTCGTGCACTGATTTGTTGAATTGCAAGAAAGAAGAAGAAAATCAAAATGGTGTGAAATTAGTTATGTGTTGGGCAATTGCAGTGCTTCATTCCTGAAAAAAACATGAAGTGCTGAACCTGACATTAAAATCCTAGAAACAAAATTTGATTTGGGACTCAATGAACTGAAAAATAGTTCCGTACTTCCAAGAGTAGAACTGTTCTATACATGAGTTATATTTAACAAAGTCCTATGCACAAATAAAATGGGAGAAAACACTAGGTGCTGCAATGCAATTTTTTTAGTTGCCATGGCGACTTGTCCCTGGTATTTGTCGAGGCCTGATTTAGTAAGTAGATAAAAGCTTTTTAAAACTTTTTGCTTGGAAGATAGACTTAATGTTTCAGATCTTTAGATCACTGAATTTGTTATCTTGTTTATGTAAGAACTCAAATTTTGTTTTAAATGTTTTAACAATCCAATGAGGTTACAATGAAGTGAAAAATAAAATGTGGTAAAAGTGAAATCTATAAGTAATAGTCATGCTTTAGGTTTACTCTCATGCTGGTTTCCTCTTTTGTCTTTATAAATACAATGTTGAAAAACTTATTTTATACTAACACTGTTTTTGTCAAAATTCCTGAGTATTCATCAATACCATGGCTTATCTCTACAAAACTTTGTTATAGTCATTTGTGACATTTTTGCAATAAATACTTCTGTTGAGAATAAACAATTAGAGATCAGAGAGTTTGGTAATTACCAAACTGAGATTGTAAGTTTCTGTGCAGCTAGCCAAGTTGCGAGTGGACATGAATATTCTGAGAGAAGAGCTGGAAAATTGTATTAAGAACCAGAACTTCACTAGAGCACAGGAAGTAAAGGAAGAACTGGCTGCCTTGGAAACTAAGAAGGAACTGCAGCAAAAAGAGTTCCAGCCTTTATCTCAAGAAGTTCGTGTGGAGAAGGTATGTTATTATTAGAACTAAAAGAAGTGTATTTAATATCTTAACTTCTTGTTTGAACATCAATAAAGGTTAAGTGATGTGTATCAGTATTGCTTCCTGGTGACTCAACAGTAAGTCTAGAAACTTTCAACACTGAAATTCAGGTTTTGATGCTTGAGGTGGGCAGAGCACAGATAGGCCATTGTGTAGCTTTATCAGTTTGTTTCAATTGGTTTTAATTTCCACAAAGAAATTACTTTTCTAGTCTTAGAAAAGAAAGATCAAATTCAATGTGCAAATCATTTACATTCAGGTAATTGTAAGTTATTTGCATTTCAAGTGTTATATAATAGTAATCTTATGGCTGAGCTCTCATGAAAAAAAAAGAAAAATATTAAACATGTTCATGAAGATTTTACTCGACTTGCAGAAGTATTTGCCTCTTGATACTTGAAGATGAAAATATATGTGTTCTCTACTAGAAACACACAACACCATTTGTCATATTTGGATGTTTACAATGTGATCAGGTTAAAAAATTTTCAGTCATCTATATCTCTTCTCCTTTAACTATATGTTGGAACCTATCACCTAAACTTTCATTATATTGTTAGACACTATGGAAAGTCAAATGATTTTAGTAGCACTCTCTTGTGGGTATTTAAATACTGAAACCTTACAATGTACAGTAAAGTAATACAAAAATTCCACTGAGTTTTGACTGGTTCTCATACTGTATTGAAACCAGCAAAATTATACACAACCTTAACATTCAGTAAAATAATATTGCAGAATGGACTCATCACAGTATTAGCATAAATTTACATACAACAGCTTTATGGTTTACTTATGCTAAATAACAGACAAATTTATTTCGACATTTAAAAAGATTTAACAGAAACTAAATTTTATGGTCTAAAAGTGAAAAATCCTAAATCCTGAAATGTATAATTTCTACCAAACTGCATACCTTAAGAAAAGATACATAATAGATATATCATAGTATTGCTGGGCAATTAATCAATATAATTGATGACCTATGAGCATTTATTACATCAATTAGTATCGTGTAAAATAATCAACTGATCAAAATTAGTATTTCTGATTATTACTATTTTCAGTTACTTCAACTACTCAAGTGATGGAAATATTACTATTATGACTTAACATTATTATTTTCAATTAATTCACAGTTGTTCAGCATAATCAGTTAGTTTATAACTCATCAAAATGATCAATTAATGGAAATTAGTGTTTCCAGTTATTACTATTTTCGATTATTCTAACCATCCATGTGTTGTGGGAATAATCAATAAATTGAATGTGATTGAGTAATGAGTGTGACATCCACTAATTTACCAACTCTAAAATGCAGTAATTTAAAATTAAAATAAATAATAGGAAATGTTTATGGTTGTTTGTACAATATAATATTTAGTGTAACAGTAAATTTGGATAAAATAACTTTCCAATACGTCACTAGCTGTTTAACCCTTGTACACATCAAGACATGACAAACCAACATATGGCATGACACTCAAAATAATATTTGGATAAGTTTACTTTTTTAAATTTAGTCTTTACACAGAAGACGCTCATAGAATCAGTTAGCAATTGTTTTATCATATAGGTTGCAAAAAGTACATAAAAAGCTAACAACTTTTATCTAAAGACCATTACCGATTATACAAATGTTCATTAAACTAGAGAATTGAAGCTCACCTATCAGAAAGAAAATACAGAGGTTCGATTTAATGCTGCAAATCTTTAGATTACTGAATTTGTAATCTTGTCTACATAAGTGTCCATACTTTTTTTTAATGTATTAACAGTTCAGTAATTTACAAAAATTGAGGTTACAATGAAGTGAAAAATAAAATGTGGTAAAAGTGAAATCTATACATACTAGTTGTGATTTAGTTTTACTGTAATGCTGGTTTGATCTTTTGACCTTATAAATAGAATGTTTAAAAACTGATTTTATATTAACACTTTCTTATTGACATGAAATCATAAGAGGATGATTTTAAATAAAAAGTTAGGTTTAAATGAAACTCTGTTAGATGTTGATTTTGTCAAGAAAGGTAAATATAAGTGTATTTTGCCAACTATTTTTGTATGGTTTTAATGGTGGATAAAATCCTAGGTCAGCTCTTTGGTAGATAATGATTTATAGTTTTATGACTCAATGATTTTTATTTGTAATGTTTATTGTGGTCTGTACTGTAATGTCAAAACAAGTAAATAGCAGGAGATACTGTGAATGTACCAAATCAACATAACTTATTACATTACTGCCAAACAAATGTTTTATAAAATATATCACTGTTTGAGAGAGGGAATATATATATATATATATCTGTTTCATAAAATACACCATAAATTACATTATATTTTACACAGTTTTCAGTTGTGAAAATCATTGAATTTTATTATGAATTATCACTTTATTGATGGTCTTTGAGCTGACTTCAATGCTAGCAGAAACTTTACAGACCACTGAAAAAATTTAATTCAGTTAAATCTGTTCAGCTGTAGATTTAACATATTGATGATTTGACGTGATACCCCTACATGGACAGTGCTACTACCTGCCTGATAACGTGTCAACAATCATGAGACAAACAAACTCACTATGTTTTTATACATCATTAATTTTAAAAGTCCACTGTTGTACAACTGTGGATTAAAAGTCAGAGATACAAAATGGCTCTGAATGTAGCTGAAGATCAGGAAAAGGTGAGGAATGGAAAGAATATAACTCCCAAAACATTATTTCCATTCAAGAAACTCACTCCTACGACAATGCAGAACATTAGCAATATGGCTTGAATTGTTCATTGAAATGGTATTTTAAATATTTCCTTAATAGGCCATCAGAACTTTACAATACTATTCGTTGTTTCTTTTTATAACAATATGTATGCAACGACAGAGTCACAAGTTCTGGGAATGTCTATAAATATCATATCAAAAATATGAATTTCTTGTTCTTATTTCTGCTGCATCTTTTTTATTACATGATAACTCAAAGAACCAAAACAATGGTGTCAACCAATTTCACTGAGGTAACATAGTTTCAAAAGTAAAAAAAAATCATAACTCTAGTGTTATCATTACACCTTGAAGTTAGCTTTCTTACATAAATTTGGTGTTCCTTTTAAAAAGCTTAAATACGGTGGGAAACAGGAATTCCCAGCCAATAAC